CATGACTGATGTAAGCATTAAACACATAGTATTTACAGAAGTAAGACTAAGGACTAAAGAGGAAAGAGTACTATGTGTAATCGCAATATGCCCAAACAGTGTAGGTAGAATACAACTTCAAGAAATATAGGAGAATGGAGAGCACATATATTTTAAAAATTTTAACAGGTCTCTGTTTTTATATTGATGATGGTATTGTGGTAGTGTTACTACTCTGATACTATTGTGTGCTTAATGATGGAAAAAGTAAATGAGTAATTATAGAATATTTTAATTCTATTAGAATGTTCCTAAGAACCAAGATTCTCAGTGTGGAAAAAGAAATATGGGTTAATATAGAAGAGATTAAAACTCTGTAATCCTGAATTTGAATGGAAAGTATCAGTGTGACAATGGAATACTATGCTGCTGTAAAAAGAAAGGAACTCCTACCATTTGCAACAGCATGGATGGACCTAGAGAGCTTTATGCTAAGCGAAATAAGTCAGTCAGAGAAAGACAAATATCACATGATCTCACTCATTTGTGGAATATAATGAACAATATAAAATGATGAACAAAAACAGATCCAGAGACAGAGAAGCATCAATCAGAAGACCGTCAATCAGAGGGAAGGCAGGGGAGGGTGGCGGTAAGGGGGAGAGATCAATCAAAGGACTTGTATGCATGCATATAAGCATAACCACCGGACATAGACACCAGGGGGGGGAGGGCATGAGCTGTGGAGGTTGGGGAGGGTTTGAGGGGGGTAAGGGGGGATAACAACACATATGTAATACCTTAATCAATAAAGAAAAAATAGTAATAAAAAAAGAAAGTATCAGTGTGAGCTCATGAAGTATTTTGTCATATCCGTGTGTGTACTTCATATATGTGTATGTTTATACTGATATACATATGTAAACACACAGATATTTCCTAGCTCTGTCACTAAAGAACCCTAGACACAATCACCAACCAGTAGCAATAAGTGTCTATAGCCTTCAAGGTGTGTAATTAAAATACCTTTTCCCAAGAAACAAAGACTGGAGAAAATGGCTGAACCCAGGTCTCGGGAAGGCACATTTTGTCATACCAGATAGCAAGAAAGCAAAAGAACTCGGGAGGCTTACCACTGATCAAAAATGTGACATTTTAAGCTTCTAAAGGATAATAGGGGTCAATTAGAACTAAAAAATATGTTTAAACTCAAGAATTTATATCATGTATAAACAACTAATTGATCAACTTTAGAGGATGATAAATAACTAATTCATTATCTTGAAAACTATAATAAGGAGAAAGAATTGAGCATTTATCCTGCATGGGTAACCAAATAGTAGGTAAGAGGAAGCATCGCTTTATAAATGTGTTCCAACTGATAAATAAGAAGAAAAGGTATAATTTGAGTATCATTATTTTGCAGCTCCCAATAAATACATGGGCCTAGGCATTAAGCTTCTACAACTGCGAACATCAAAAAAAGAAAGCAATCATCGGGCATTGATTGTATATCTAGAAGGGGCACTGCTCCACTGTTTAAAGAGTTGAGACAAATGGTAAAAATGTTTTAACCTCCCAATGGCTACAATATATACATTATTTTTATGTCACCCTAATAAGGAGCACAATTGATTAATTTTCATTACGTATTCAAATTTTCCAATTTACAATAAAGAATGGTGCTGTATACATTATGGATGATGAATTTGGTCCTGGTTTGATGTAATGGGATCTATGATGGTGATCAAAATGGTTCGATATACCACAGGTCCCATGAAGTTCAGCCCAGTCAACAGATAAGGGTAAATTTCAGTTCCAAGGATCAGAATCAAAATGGTACAAAAGGGCCCTAGCCGGTTTGGCTCAGTGGACAGAGCATCAGCCTGCAGACCGAAGGGTCCTGGGTTCGATTCCAGTCAATGGCACGTACTTAGGTTGCAGGCTTCTCCCCGGCCTGGGCCCTAGTAGGCGAGCATGCAAGAGGCAACCAATTGATGTGTTTCTCTCACATCAGTGTTTCTCTCTGTCTTTCCCTCTCTCTTCCACTCTCTCTGAAAATCAGTGGAAAAAAATGCCCTGGGTGAAGATTTTTTTTAAATGGTACAAAAGGTCCTTATGAGCCATTGAGTGCTCTTCTGTGATACAACCACCTAGGCCTTCAGCATGAGGCAGATCCTCATTATTGCGATTAACAGCCGTAGTTGAGAACTTATTTTCTTTTGTATCGTGCTTTATTTCTTTGCATTCAGTTGAGCAGACAAGATGGCTTAACAACAGTAATAAAACCAGTACAATCGCTGTCTATCCCATGGTTTTTCAGCATTGTGCTGTGTATTACTAATTGATTTGTTTCTTCTTAGAGGGTTCTGCTATCTACTTAAAATGAAACCCAGTGCTTAATGGATTTTTCTTTGCTCAAATGTCTAATAGCCAATCAGTATTTTGATGTTTGTGGGTTCTTTATACAATTTAGATGTGAGTGAATATCAAACTAGGCTTCCAGTGTGTGGTAAAAGAACAAGATAAATGATAAGTAAGAACAAGATAAAACTCCGTAAATGAGTTTTAACACAATAGTTTTTTGTTTTGTTTTCAAAGTAAGAAAAGAGGACAGCGCCAGCCTTCCTTCCTTCCCTGCCTCCAATCCAGGCTCCTCCCTGCGGCCATTTGATCCTCTCTAATGCCAAATGTTGCACTTTGCTTAGGTCATACTATAATGCCAACTGGAAGTCTAAGTAGTAGGTATTATTAGGGTAGGGTGCCAAGCCCACACCTTTAGCTCTCTTCCTCAGCACACACATAAGGGAAAATATTTATGTTGTTATGTTATGTTATGTTAGTCCCAAAAAATGTATACACACTTTAAAAGCTGATAGCTCAGTTTTGGAAATGAAATGTATTTTAATAAACACTGTCCTTGTAAGCATTCAAAGTGTGTGTATACATTTTTGGGACACCCTATTGTATCACACTTGTCTGATCAAATGAAATATATATTCATATATATAATTTGTAAATATGTATTTACAAATTATGCCTCTACCCAGATTGATGAGGCTGAGGTTGTCCCCAAACCCGGGCTGCTTGCTGTAGGTACAGACTGGGCCTGCAGAATAGACTAGAGATGACGGGAGGAGTAGATTTCTCAACTCCCTGCACCTATCCTCATCCCCAACTCGATAATTTAAATTCCTAGGAGCTGCTGGCAGAGATCTATTCGCATTCACAGACACTCCCATCGCCATATTTCCTATTCGTAACAACAGCACCAGCCTTGGGTGTAGACAGGAGTCATTGACACAACTCACATTTTTAGAGTTTTGAACTTTACAATGACCTTTCATACCCCTTGCTTCCTTTCATTCTAATGCCAGTCCAGCCCCTTATACAGATGAAGGAACTCATCTAGGTCCCACAGTCAGTGAGTGATGAGACTACCCCCAAACCCAGGTGTCCTTGCCGATTTCAAAGCCTGTGTGCTTTCCATTTCACACAGCCCACTCCCCCAGGTCCCCACCTCCCCACGCAACCCCACCCCCACCCCCAGCACAGCCCATGCATAAGATTTGGGCAAGAGAGCCCTTCTGCTAAAGTGCCTTCAGTAAAGAGTTACAACCTTGAATTAATAGGTTATCCCTTTATAATACAAATAGATCAGAGAATTAACATTCAGCCATTCACACCAAAGAATTCATCAACTTCTTGCCCTTGAAACAACCTTCAGAAACCAGATAGAAATCAACATCTTCATTTGAAAAACAATGAAGTCTGGAAAAGTGTTGGGCAGCTGTAGGCCTCTCTTGTCTCCGGACCTGGGGCCAGGGCAGTGTCATGGAGCCCACTGCCCGTGTGAGCCCAATCTGATCGCTTGTAGTTAGTAGCCCAAATTAATCTTTCATTTTTGCATCATTAAGTTATTTGAAAGTTTTCCAAAAAATTTTACTTTAACGTTTTAGGGAACAAAGCTATATATGCCCAAATTAATCTTTCCATAATTTCCTATAGGTAGAATTCGACTTAATCTCTATAAAGGGAAGTAATTTTTTTAATCTTATAGTGACATTTTTGTATTTGAAGTCAAAGCCATGTATCAAGAACATGGTATTTTAAAGTTCTTATAGGTTATAAAAATGTTAGAATTCCGGCCAACATGAAATCTGACTCACAGACAGAAAGTGTGAAAGGAGACGGCCCAGGGGCGGTGGAGGGGTGGGGTGTGCTGAGTGTTCCAGAGATGCCCCAAAGGTCATCTAAGGACATGGGGTGCTCCAGGTGATGACAGATCCCAGGCAGTGGCGAGGGGCTTGGAAAAAGAAGGCAGGCACCAAAAACAATGTGACCCCCAAAACCCCCAAATGTGACCCGCTTCCCTATTTTTTCCACTGTTTCATCGAGAGCCCAAGAGCTGCTTATTGCAGTTCTAAACCCCAGTGGTTACGAATAAGGAGGCCAGCCGGGAGGACAGGTCTTCTTAATCCCATGGTCCTGGGTCCCCAGGCCAGTGAGGGGTCAGGGAGCTGACTGTGTCCAGGTTGATCTTTCGATCTCCACACTAAGAGGATCCTACATGAAGATGCGAAGTCCTGGGGACAGGTTAGATGCAGTCACGACTGCACAGGTGACATGCCTGTTGTTTGCCCGGCACTGCGCTGGACTTGATGAGTCACCGGGAGAGGGCGCAGCCGCGGCCTGCACCTGTCTCCCCTGAAACGGACTTTCTCTCATGGTATCATTTTACTCTCTATGTTGTAGCTGGTTGCCTCCTTTTTGGTCTCCCTTAGTAGGCTCTGAGCTGCCTAATGCCAGGGTCCATATCCGCTCCATCTACCTGACCCAGGGCCTGGCACATAGTTCACCCCAACATCAGTTTCCAGGTTGAGTGCTGAGCGGTGTCTCTTGCCCTGATCTTGGTGCCATGTTAGTGCCATGGAGCACACAGCTCAGAGGCAGCCAGAGAGGCCCCACAGAGGAGGGAGGGTCAGGCCACGTGAGTGATTGTCTTTCTTCTTGTGTCACAGTTCACTGGCTATTTACCACGTGTGGAGCCAGTGGGCCCCACGGCCCCACGCAGGCCCAGTGCAACAATGCCTACCGGAACACCAACCTGAGCGTGGTGGTGGGGAGCGAGGGCCCCCTCAAGGGCATCCAGACCTGGAAGGTGCCAGCCACCGACACCTACAGGTACGTATGGGGGAGAGGGGGAAGCCAAGGGGCAGAGGACTGGGGTCCTGTCTGTGGGTGCATGTCCCCGGGTGCCTGGGTGGCACACCAAAGTTCAGAGGCCACAGACTCTGGCCCGTCGTAAGGACTGCAGAAGGGGAGATTTGAGATGATGGAATGGGGCAGCAGGGAAGATGTGTCCTCCGTCCTCCGGGGGCCCACAGACTATTTGTGGAGATGATATGCATGTGTGAGCCGGCTTCAGAACATTCTTTATCCTTATTATTCGTAATTATAATTATTTCTATTCTTGAATCGCACTTGGTGCTGTTCCAATGAGGCAGTGCATGTACAAACATCTGGGAAACACAAGTGCGATGCACATGAAGGACCACGTTGTTATCCTTGCGCCTCCTTTCCCGGGACTTCACTGTTCTCAAGGGAAGTAGCTGTTCAACTCTGTCCGTGTCCAACCCCAAGCCCACAGTGTTCCCTAGGGCAGGGGTGAGGAACGTCTGGCCCACAGGCCATATAAGGCCATCGAAATCATTGGATCTGGCCCTGCCAAGGCATTAGGCATTAGGCATTAATTAAAGGTTTGACCAAGTATAGCAGGCTTATTTTTAAGTTGATAATTTTGTTTGGCCCATGAATGATGTTATAAAGATACAAATGGCCCTTAGAGCAAGGCCAGGCTGGAAGGAGGCTGATGACTCTCCTGGGCCACTGTGCGGTCATTAAGCAGAGCTATTGGTAGAGCTTAGACCAGTGGTGCCCATCATCGAGTGGGCATTGGAATGACGGAGGGCTGGTTAAAGCGCAGGTGGCTGTGCCCACTCTTGGAGCGTCTGACTGTGTGGAATGGGGTCAAGAATAGAATTTCTGGCCTTAGCCAGTTTGGCTCAGTGGATAGAGTGTCAGCCTGCAGACTGAAGAGTCAACGGGTTCGATTCCAGTCAAGGGTCCATGCCCGGGTTGCGGGCTTGATCCCCAGTAGGGGGCATGCAGGAGGCAGCCGATCAATTATTCTCTCTCATCCTTGATGTTTCTATCTCTCTCTCCCTCTTCCTTCCTCTCTGAAATCAATAAGAATATATTTTTTTAAAAAAAGAATAGAATTTCTGGTAAGTTCCCAGATGATGCTGATGCAGCCCTGAGAACCACTGAGTCAGGTCAGACTTGGCCTAGGGACCACACAGCTGTGACGTGGGCAAAGGCAGGGCTGCAGTCATTTTACAAATGAGGAAACTGAGGCTCAGAGAGTCAGGAGCCTCCCACAGCCCAGACATGGCCTCCAGCCCCGGAACTTTGGGGGTGCAGCCTCACTGTGGCTCCTTCCACCACACAGCCCAGCTGTTTAAACAGGAAGCATCATAATGATGTCCCTGGAGGCTGAGCTGTGGGAACTGAGCTCTCCTTCCCTCCTGCAGCCCCCGAGCCCCAGCATAGCCTCAGCCCCCTGGGAAGAAAAGAGGCAGCCCCGCTCCCAGGACCTCAGGGTAAACGTGTTTCAGGGAGAGCCCTAAGTGCTTTCTAAATGCATCGGGGCAGGAATGCAATAACAAGGTTTGGCTGCAATCACATTAGCCGCTCGTCCTGCACATTCCCAGTAAATGGCCAAAGACACGCACCACCACTGACCCCACCACCCACAGCTGGCCAGGCCCCCCTCCTCCCGACTGGATTTCCATGGTCACCCCTGTCCCAGAGCTGGAGGAAAGGACTCCTGGGGGGAAGGGGATGGATGTTTGTTGAAGATCCACTGGGTATTTCCCCTCCATTTAGTGATGAGGTGGTGTTATTATTGACACGCCCTTGTCTCCACATGTGGAGCCTGGAGTGAGAGAAGCTTTGCACAGGCCTGACACCACATGGCCGGAGACAGCAGTGCCGGGAGCAGACCGATCCCACAGACAGTTGATTCTGACTTCCTGCTTCCCAGAACTTTCTCCTGACTTCCTCAGATAGACCCCATGTTTAAAAGATTTTGCCTGCTAGAAAAACTGCACTATTAGATAAAAATTAATTCGTTGTCCCATCTGTGGTGAATTATAGCCATATCTAAGTCTAGCCAGGTTTCTCATCTGTAAGGATTGCCACACCACGTTGACATAAGCCCAGCCCTAATCAAGAGCCGTTCCTATTTCTCTCTTTGCAACATTGAGACCAGCTTTGCCTGGTGAACACTCATTGGAAACATTCACATGCTGTTGAGGCAGGACACCATGAAGTGTCCAGATTGGTGAATTTTGATCTGCGGGATTCTGTTGAATTGGCCTGAGATAGCACCGTGTCAAAATGAAAGAATCAAAATCGAAAAGCACTGGGTTGGGGTTGCTGTCGTTGAATCTTTGTTCTTTAACCAATTAAAGGCTGTCACAGATGCAATCATCCTTCGGTGTCCAAGGGGAATTGGTTTCAGGACTCCCTTTGGATACCCAAATCCAAGGATGCTCAAGTCCCTTATATGAAACTAGAAGCCCAGTGCACGAAATTCATGCACTGGTAGGGTCCCTAGTGGCTGCCTGCTGGGTACTCCCTCCCTTCCCCAGCCACCTGCTGCTGCCTCTAACTAGGGCCTCCCTCCCTTCCTCTGACTGGCCCCACCCCCTGGTCTAACTCCTGGATGAATTCCTGGTGGAGGGGACAATTTGCATACTATGCTTTTATTATATAGGATGCCATAGTATTTGCATATGAACTACCCACATCCTCCTGTATAATTTAAATCATCTCTAGATTACATACAATACTGTAAGTATTGAAAATGCTCACAAATAGTTGTTATACTGTATAGTTTAGGGAATAATAACAAGAAAAATTGTCCATACATGTTCAGTACTGACACTACCAATCATAGGCATAGTGCATGTCACCAACAAGGTAACATTTTTTCAAATATTTTTGATCTGCGGTGAGTTTGCACATGTGAAACCCATTGATGTGGAGGGTCCTCTATTTCTGGCCTTCACTTCATCCTTGACCCTGGATAAGGCTCTGGGCTTGGATGTTAATGTCTATTGGCCACATCACTTAGGAGTCAAAGAAGCAGAAGTTGAGTGGTTGCTTTTTAGACCACACCGGAATGTCCACGTGGAGAAGCCAGGGCCCTTCTTCTGGCTTCCTATTAACTAATTTCTATTTAGTAAGTGCAGTTCACCTGGCG